CGCTCAGAGTCTTGGGGAGGATTCACCGAGGTGTGTGGGTTGCCGGCTGGCCTGGGATGGGCCTGGCACAGGACGAGGGCTCCACAGGGGTTCCATGTTGTCAGGACATTCCATGATGGGATTGGGAAGTTCAAAGTGAAAATTCGGGGCCCCTTGTTCGAGCTGAGGCAGTGGCGCAGTAAACCTGGCTCCGTGCCCTTCTGGGCTCCATGGGACTGCCCAGGCCGTGCGACCGTGAGTGACGTGGGCAGATGCCCAGGGGAGGCAGGGAGCAGGCAGGCTGTGCTTTTTCCAATGGAAAACACTAAATCAGAGGCCCGCACACAGTAGGAGGCTGTTTGCTTACAAACAGTTTAAACGGGGACACAAAACAATGCCGCCAATTGACCATAACCATAAATACGGAGGGCGAACCAGAGCGGAGGCGGCAGATCCCCCTCCTGCTGCCCCCGACCTGGCGCTGGGTGGGAGGCACAGCAGAAGTTAGCTGTATCCACCACGTTGTATTTCTTTTTTTTTCTTTTTTTTTTTTTACAGTTTATAGATACCAAAATTTTATTTCTAGATTCCCATGGAAAATTAAAGGAGTTTGTAGTTGGTTTTTTGTTTGTTTTTTGGGGTTTTTTTTTTACACTAGACAAAATAGAAAACCCATTCCTGGAGCAGTCAAGGATAACAATATTTAGCACTGTGAAAATTAAACTAGTTTCTAGTAATGCTTAACTGGTTACGGCCTCCCTGCAGAAAGTGTTATCAAAACCATTTGTGTAATCAAACTATAATGCTAAGACTTCGCAGAGCTGCAGACGGATTTCAAATGAGATTTGCCTATGAAAGAAAGATGACAGGTCAAATCAGACCAACACTGGATTCCTGATACTGACGACCTCACATTTGCGGCATCTGTTCCAGGCAATGAAAGCAATGCAGAAACAGTAGCAGCGGCCAAACGCTGGGCGGGCTGTCGATGTGCCGTCGGGAAGTCACCCCGGTGCAGGCAGCCAGGCGCCGGCAGTCACCACCGCAGAGAGCGGCGCTGCTTTGGGGAGCCAGACACCTGCACCGTGACACCAGGGCAGGGCCAAGTCAGAAGGCCACAGGCTCATGGTCAACAAAGGGTGCGGAGCACTCTGGTAACGCTCACAGGCTGAGCGTGGAAGTCTTAAACATCACGAGGGTCGAAAGTTCCAGCTATCCTCAACACAAGCGGCCTCCAGACTTACAAGCTACCTGCTAATGCTCAAATTAGCAGCAAAATTAAGATAAGTAACCTACTGGGAACATTTCCCAAGAGGCATCCGTGAAAAATAAAAATTAAAATTAAAAAAGGCAGTGCAGAGTCCCCAGCTATGCATGTGTATGTGGTCTAGTTACCTCTCGCAGCCACACCGAGAAGAGGGGTTATAAATGGGTCTGGACACCAAGAGTTCAGGAAAAACTTGAAGAGTCTATGACTCAAAACAAAAACAAAAAAGTTAATATTTAAAAGCATATAAACTTAGCATGCTATATTTCACAGCAAAGTGACAAATGCTATTCAAAGAGAATCAGAACCATGATTCTCTTGATATTTAAAAAAAAATAGAAAAAGGGGGGAAAAGCTAAAAGTTGTCAGGATACCTCCAACAAGCTTGAAAAACTATGGATCTGGCTTATCTGGGAGATTGTTGTGAGGCTCCCTTTTTTCCCTAAACCAGAAATGCAATGTGCACGGACAGGGCTCGGCAGGATGGGCTCCAGGCCTGCTGGTTGGGTCTCAAGCCCAGAGAAGAAATCAATGAGTTCCTGAAAAGCAGTCAGAAGCTCCAGCTCCTGCCTGAGCCTGACAGGGAGGACCGGAAGCGTGCGTGTGATGCTTTGCCGCACATCACTTCCACCCTGGCTGACTTTTGTCATTAGGCGACTGACTTCTTTCCTCTCCAGTTACAAGATGAGGAAACATGGGATGCACATGGGGGCCGGGGGTGAGGGACACGGAGCTTCAACTTCTAACATAGCAACGCCAGAGGAGGAAAACGGCACAGATTCACGCATCCAGTTGACAATCTGTTTTTTTCCGGGAATCTTTCAAAGGCGGGAACTGCTCTACTATGTCTCAAAATCCCAATGGTCTTAGCTAGCAAATTTAGAAGGAAAAAACATTTTACTACTAGTGGCTGGCTTTCCGGCTACCCAATTTGCCATCTCTTGGGACACGCCCCAAGCATCAAGACAGCTTCCGGGACACACAGCTTTGCAGACTTCATTTCTACCTCTAAAAACTTCCATCTGTGGCAGTAGGAGAAATGACAGTCACAACAGGCCACCTTCCCCTTTAATCCTGTTACTAATACACATCCATTCTAGACTAGCTGAGTCTATACCTGAGAAACATTAGTGTTAAAATATTGCTCTTTACAAAGACTAGCGGAGGGGGCCAAAGTGCAGGAAGCAAGTTTTCTCTCAGTTTGTCTCATCGTTAGTGTCACAGTTTTTAGAACTCCTGGTGACACGTGACAATCTGCAGTGAGGACAAATCCTGCTCAGACGAAACCCAAGTCAAATAATTCATCCTTCTACGGAGCACACTAATGACAGCTACATTGTATTTCTTAAAGAAAAAAAGATTAGTGACAAACGTGACAAAATATTCGTGTGTCGTTCAATTCTGGGTAGGGGTCATAGGGGGTTATTTTATTCTCTGAAGTTTCCTGTATATTTTTATTTTTAAAATGGTGGTTTCACGGGCTGGTCGAGTGGCTCGGTTGGTTAAGAGCACGAGCTCTGAGCAACAGTCGCCGGTTCAATTCCCACATGGGCCAGTGAACTGCGCCCAAGCCGAGCTGCCGCTGAGCTGCCAACAGGTGGCAGGATGGCAACTGGACTTGGAGCTGAGCTAGCTGCGCCTTTCACAACTAAGACTGAAGGACAACAACTTGGCTGTTCCCCTTCCCCAATACCCCAACACTGTTCCCCTTCCCAAATTCCCCAATAAAACCTTTCAAAAAAATAAAATAAAATGGTGGTTTCACTGCTTTACAAAGCTTGAAAGCATTGGATTAGAAAAAAAAAACTGTTCTTTGCTAACGTCCTTCGAGCAAGGGGCTGGACACTCAGTGTTAACTGAGCACCTGCTATGTGCCGGCACAGGGCTTGGCTCCAGGGAAATAAAAACAAGCATTTTCCCCTCCAGAGTCCAGCAAGGGGACAGAAAACAAGCCTGCATGTCCTGTGCCAGGACTGACATGAAGTGACCCCCAGCTCTGGCGTGGGGCTGCTGCTTTGCTATTATCACAGGAAAGCAGGCTCTTAGGTGTTTTGTTTTTTTTCCTCCTGCAGAAGGACGGCTAGAGCCTTGCAGGAGTCTGCTGGCCAGCTCCAAGGGCTGTCAGGCCCGCAGGTACATTCAGGCAAGTCACAGGCAGCGGGGAGGCCCCGGGGCTGCCCCAACCACCACGGAGCCCCTTAGATGAACCATGAGAGGTGCCGCCCTGACTTTTCAGCAGCCTCTGCTGGCAGGCCCTGGGGTCTGCTGCTGGCTGTGGGCGTGGCAACACCTCAGCTGGAGCTCCCGCCCTCCCAGGGGCGGCAGTAGCCTGTTTGGCAGTATTAGGGGGGACAACACCAGGCTTCCCCGCAGCCCAGGGCTTAGCGGTCCCTGCTGGGCAAGCAGGCCAGGCAGCCCCAGAGCTGCTGTCTCGTCATTTCTATCTCCTTTGTTTGTCTAACCTTTTATTTTGACATAATTTAAGATGTACAGAAAACGTGCAAAGAGAGTATGAGTTCCCACGTCCCCTTCGCCCAGCTTTCCCGACTGTCAATATTTTACATAACGGTACGATGAGCAAACCGGAGAAATTGCTTCGATGCCACACCGTTCACTTCTATAGACTTTATTCGGGTTTCTCCCCGAAGGCCCTTTTCCTGTCCTGGGACCCACATGGCACTTGGTCATCTTGTCCCCTTAGTCTCCTGCGGCCTGCGGAGGTCCCTCCCTCTTTCCTGGTCTTGCCATAATTGTAAGTATCCCTTAGGTGTTTTGTAGATCGTACATCCGTTTGGGTTTGTCTGACTTCCTCTCATATTTTAAAGTGCAGACTTTTCAAGAGTACCATTCCGAAGCTTTTAGTGCACGCCCAGAGTTGTGCAGCCGTCACCATGATCTAATTCCAGACATTTCCATCCCCCCAAAAGGAAGTCCCATGCCCCTCCAGGATGCTCTCTCGTGTTCCCTGTCTGTCCCTGGCCCCATCTCTCTATCTGTGACTCCATTTCTGTTTTTCTTTCAGTTTCTCTTTGTGTCTCTGCCTCTAAGTCCCTCTGTTTTCTCACACGTGTGGCTTCTATTTCTGCATTTCTGTCACTCGCTCCCCGTCTCTCTCTCTCTCCATGTGACTCTCCCTTTATTTTCTCCCTTCTCATTCGATTTTGCTCCGTGTCTGTGTGTGCGTCTTTCTCCCTTTTCTGCTCTGAAGGGGATACAGGCAAAACCCAAGGAAACAAATACAAAGCAACGATAAGGCACATCCAATGTTCAGAGACAGACAGGGTGGGACAGAGACTATCTGAGGGCTGCAGCCAAATGGGGCAGCCATGGGGAGCCCCCTGAGGAGAGGATGGTGACACTAAACCTTCCCGCAGCAGCAGCCCTGGAAAAGACGCTAGGAGACTTCCAGGCAGGAGGGTAGTGAGAGCAAAGGTCCTGGAGCGGGAAGGAATTCCTGGAGCCGAGCCGAGGAGCCATGGGAAGCCAGAGAGAGGTCTCCCTACGCCCCAGACTTCCTTGGAGGGCACCCTAAATGCCTCCCCAGGCCCGGCTCGCAGGCCCTGAGGTAGGAGCCCCAACCAGCTCAGGGCAAGGCTTGAAGTGACTAAGTCACAGCTGAACCTCAGAGAAGTTTCCAGCACCCCCACTGGGGGGTCCAGGCCATGTATTCAGCACTGGGGCCCCTGAGCTGGACACAACCCAGCTCTGCCTGGGAGGGTGTCTGTAGCGGAAAAAGCACAACTCAGGCTCAAAAGAAGTTTGTGTATTGATTTATTCAATTATTTATTCCAGAAACATTTATTGAGCGCCTGCTGCATGCCCGAATCACAGACGGATATGGGCAGTGCCCCGACCTCACAGGGCTCAGAGTCTAGAGAGAGAGGCAGCGCCCCCACTCACCCCGACCTTACAGGGGAGGAAGGCTCCAGCACGCAGCTGTTGGTGCCCACTGCATGGCGGACAAACACAGATGACCCCCAAGGGGACGGCCCATGTTCACAGCACAGTTTCTAGAGCAGAATGACATGGGGTCAAGTCCCAGCTCTGCGGGGTGTTAGCTGAGTGGCCTTAAGCATGTCACTCGCCCTCTCTGAGCTTCAGTGTCCTCCTCTGTATGGTGGGCTGCTGTGAGAGTGAAATGATAGAACGTCAATGCTGAGTCCCCCCGCACCCCCGCACCCCCTCTCCCCGACATTCAATGAGTCCTCCTTGACCTGAATTGAGTTTATTAGACACACAATTGTTGTTCTTCCCAGTTGGTGGGGAAGGCTGGCCAGGTCAGGGATCCCAAGCAGGCTGGGGACTGACCAGGCAGGCACCCACCGCCAGGGGTACAGTTTAGGCAGCTGGGGAGCAGGTGCCTTCTGCAACAGCTGGATACTGGCTTGTGTCCTTAAGTCACCAAGGGCAGCCCCAGGCTGCCTGGCCAGCGTCCAGCAGCTCTCACTGAGCCTCATTTGTGAGGCAAATGGCTGGCAGTGGCTGTGGGCCAGGCACACAGTCCCCAGCGGGGGCCCTGAGCTTTTACTGTGAGCAGAACAGAGCCTGGGGAGGGGTGGAGGAGGACCCTCCCACCTGCCCCCTTGCTCCCGGCTTCTGTGGCCGTTTGTTGACTCAGACACAGTGTGACTCAGATCCCTGATGGGTCCTGAGCGTGGGGGGAGGAAATCCAGGTATCTGTCTGTCTGCAGGGCTGTGATCCTTGCTGGAGGCTCTGGGGAAGAATCCGCTTCCAGACTCATTCAGATTGCTGGCTGAATTCAGCTCCTTGTGGCTGTAGGACTGCAGTCCCTGCTGACTGACCGTGGGGGCAGGTCTTTGCTCCTAGAGGCTGCCCACGTTTCTTGTCATGTTTTCCATGTGGCCCCGCCAGCACAGCGGGCCAGGACCCTGTCCCTGCCGCATCTCCAGCTTGCCCTCTGGCTGCCTCTCTCCGTGTCCAGCTGGAGGAGGCTCTCCGGCTCGTGCTGATCTACCAAGATAATCCAGGATCCTCTCCCTATGTTAGGGCTCTGACCTTAATCACATCCGCAAAGTCCCTTTAGCCCTGTAATTTAACATAGTCACAAGTTCCAGGGATTCAAATGTAAATGTCCCAAGCAAAGAGACATTCTGCCCATCCACCGCTGCCTGACTTGGGTTTTCTGTCATTTGCAAAGGAAAAGACTCTTGGCTGCTTTGTCCTCCTTCTGGACAACGGTTGGCTGGACACGACTGGCTCAGGCAGCTGAAAACGGCTGGCTTCGCAGAGGATTTGCCTCCTGAAGCACTGTGAAGGGTGGCCCCAGGGAACGCTGACTCAGGACGTCCAGAACCCCCACTCCACCCCCACCCTCCCAGCCCCCGTCCCAGAGCCGCGTTTCCAAACTTGCGCACCAACAAACAGGGAAACATGCTTTGCTGGGACAGAGTAAATAAACCGATATTTATACCACAGCCCCACAGGGTGGCCACTTGGCTCTGAGACAAATATGGTCAAAATTGAATTCTGTGGCCCTCAGAGGAGAGCCAGGCTGCCTGAGAGGAGCCTGGTGGGAAGCACCCCACCCCACAGTCCCGCAGGCGTCTCTGATGATCCCAGAAGGCTCCGGGGCGGGGGAGGGAGGTCACCCAGCCACCCACTTCTGCTTGTCCCCCTCAGTCCCAGTTGAGAGGGCCCCCTCCTCTCCCCAGGCATGGACTCCTGCGTGCCTTTCCCACATCAGCGCCTGGCCGGGTCCCGAGCTCATGGCCAGGGCACCCTTCTCCCCCTCCCCATGCATTCTCTCATGAAAATGCACCCCACACTGCCTCGGATGACTTCTCCTCAGCTTGGAAGATCTTCTCATTTAAATTCTTTAGAGCTCATATATTATAAGTATTATATGTCCCCTTACTATGTGCCTGGCACTGGGCACAGTAGCTGGGTACCATCGAGGATGCGTCTGACACACTCCTGCCCCCTCCCAGTTCACGGCTCAGGAGGGGAGACAGATGTTAACGAGCAAACAAATAAATTCGCTGCGAAGTACAAACCCTACTAGGTGCTCTGGAGGAGGCAGGCCAGCAGGGAAGGGGGTTAGGAGGTGGGCAGGCGGCATGGACTTCTATAGGAAGGGCACTCCAGGCAGACGCACTGCTCGCTCTGAAGAGAGGCATCTGAAAGGGGGCAGAGCCAGTCACACCAGCTGTGAGGCCCTTGCATGGACCTGAGGTTTTATTCCAGGGCAATGGGGAGCCACAGAAGCTTCTATGCCAGGGAGCAGCACGTTCCGAGTTACCTTTTTAGAAGATCGAGTGACCGGAGGTGGCAAGAACAGCCTCTGGAACCCGCCCAGCTCCGGCTCATCAGAGACGTCCAGAGGACCAATATAAGCGAGCTGACGGACGCAAAGATAACCCCGTCCTGTTAGTACTTGCAAGTTGTCCACATAGCTGTGATAACGGCCAAACACTAAACCTGATGTCTCAATTTGTATTGCTCCACTGCAAACAATATAGAACTGTGTGAACAGGAAAAGTAAAACTCTCCTGTAAACCTTCCACCGCTAACATCTTGCCTATTTCCTTCCTACTGCTTTTCTATACACATATGGAGATTATTTTAATACAGTTCCTTTATTTTGGAATTTTCCCCCAACACTGTTAGTTTTCCAATTTAGAAAAAAATACTGTTATTTTTAATTTCTCTAAAAATGTCCCCATCACAGGAGCAGCGAGCAGGGAAGCCAGCAGGAGGCCCCAGGAACTCTGAGCTGTCCCTTGATGCAACAAGCTCAGCTGTCTGACGGGTTGGCCTTGGGGGGTTCGCCCCACCCTTGATCTCCAGGCCACTGTGCACCCCAATGTGTAACAAGGCTTGGGGTAGAGCAGATGGGGGAGTGGGGTTGATAAGCAGAGCCCGGCACTTATCGGCCCCAGCAGGAGCCCAGGAGGTATCTGGAGGGGCAGGTGCCCACCCTCCTCCGAGCCCTGTGCTGACACCCAGCCTCAGGGCACGCAGGGCAGCTGCCTTGTTATTCTTGCTGTATCTGGATGGACCTCAACCCCAGGGGGTTCCCAGATCAGTGTTTACGTCTCTTGGGGACAAACACAAGTGTGACTCAGCAGCCAAGCTAGGGATGTGGAGGGGGACACGCCCGGCTGGCTTTGGGGTAAAGGAGGTGGAGGAGAACTGGGTGGGGGTGGTGAGGCCAGAGCCCAGTCCTCAGGGCAGGGTAGCACGGCCTTCCAAATTCAGGATTGTCGGGTCCAAATCCCGGCTCTGCCCCAGACCAGCTCTCTGGCCTTGGGCAAGAGGCTGACTCGCCCCAGCCTTGGTTTTCCCATCTGTGAGCCTGGTCAACCTCCCACAGGTTGCTGGGAGAGGTCAGAGAAAGAACAGACATAGAGCCACGGAAAGCATTCAATAAATGTTCGTTTTGATGAGTTCTGGGGCTCTGAAGACAACCTTAGCTCCACGGGTGGGAGACTAAAGCCAGCGGGGTGGGAGATGGTGGTTGTCTCCTTTGACAGGAAATGTGGGTCCCTCATCCACTGGCAGGCGGATTTCACAGGAATTTGAGTGGTTTTCTCGCCTTCACCCTCAGTTGCTTGCTGGGCTTTCCCTCTGGGCCCTGCGTGCCTCCCCCAGCTGGAGTGCCAGGAGGACACGGGCAGGCGCCGACGCCATGGCCGGCATCTGCGGCCACAGCCCAGGCTAACGGGACCAGGCACGGGGGACTCGCCGCTCCCCTGCCTTCCTTTCTGCCCCAGATGCAAACCTCCCTCTCTCTTCTCTCTGCCAGGCTGGCCAGGAGCCGCCCCTGGAGGCTCATTCATACCTCACAGCTCTGTTCGTGCCAACCCTCACCGCCAGCCCCGCCACCTCCTTTCCACCCAAACCCTCTAGGCCAGCGGTTCTCAACCTTCCTAATGCCGCGACCCCTTAATGCAGTTCCTCATGCTGTGGTGACCCCCAACCATAAAATGATTTTCGTTGCTACTCTATAACTGTGATTTTGCTACTGTTATGAATCGTAATGTAAATATCTTTTTGTGTTCCGATGGTCTTAGGCGACCCCTGTGAAAGGGTCGTTCGACCCCCAAAGGGGCCGCGACCCACAGGTTGAGAACCGCGGCGCTAAGCCCACCGGGCTGGCTCCTGTCCCACCTCCATTCCCCCAGCACATCAAAACTATGAGCCCTTCACACACTGGCTGCTGCTGACACACGAGGCCCTCACTCAGCATGGAGCCCAGACCATGGTGGCAGCTCTGCACTTGTCGTTTAACACGTGTTGTGGGGGAGTGTGTGTGTGTGTGTGTCTGGCGGTGAACACATGTGTATCTATGTGTGCGTGCACATATGCATCTCTATGTGGGTGTATCTGTGTGTGTGTCCTGTATGAGTGTGTGTGATGTCTGTGTGTATATATATGTACTGTATGAGTCTGAGTGTGTCTGTGCATGTGTGCATGGGGTGTGTTTCTGTGTGTTCCTGTATACACGTGGGTGTGTCTGTATAGCAGATAGATGCGTGTGTCTGTGTAGTGTGTATCTGTGAGTTTCTGTGTATCTATGATTGTGAACATTGGGGTGAGTGTGTATGTTTCCATGTGTCTGTCTCTATGACAGTGTATGTCTGTGTGGGGCATACATGTCTGTCAGTGTGCGTATATGTGTTTCTGTGAGTGGGGAGAGGAGTGCGTTAATATGTGTGCACGTGTGTGTACATACATGTATGTATGCATGTGTGTGTGGGACCAAGGCTCACAGACAAAACCAAGGGTGACAGGACGGAAGCAGATGAGGAAGGTGGCGCCCTCGGCCCCCTCCCTGTGCCCACTGTCACTGCACTGGCTGCTAGGGACACAGCGAAGGGACAGGAAGTCCCCGCCCCTGAAGGACAGTCACAGCCCCTTTCACTGTGAGGCTCAGGGAGCTGGAGCCGGGCTGAGCTCGTGATGCTGGCCCACCTATGTCCTTCATGTCCACGTCAGGCCACCTCCTGCCACCTCTCCTTGGGGGCCTGGGCAATGGTGGCTCCAGTCCATGGTGTCCTGTATCTCCATCCGTGCAATGGGGACACAGTGTTCACCTTGTGGGTAACTGGGACCATCCCTGAGAAGCGCTTGGCACAGGGCCCGCCTGGGTCAGTGCTGCAGATGTCACCCCCGAGGTCATTACCGTCATCTATAATGACTGTAGCTGTGACTAGTGTCCGCCTCCCACCTGCAGACAACAGCTCTGCTCTCCATACAATGAGGGTGACATTGGGAGCTCTCTCTCCTGGGTTGTCGCCATCCAGAGCCCTCAATCCCAGGCCTCGGGAGGATGTTTTTCAGGCCTCAAGGCCTGTCCCAGAGGCTGCCACTGGCCGATAGTGACAGGAAACGGGCTGGCCATGAGTGGCCCTCCAGATAACCCTGGCAGCACCCGCAACCCCCTCTCTGCCCCCAACCCCTTATCAGCTGCAGCAAATGTCTCTTCTGAGCCTGGAGCCCCACAAGGACCTCCCTGACCCACATCAGTGTTTGCAAACTATGACCCAGCCAGTGGGGGAGGGCAGGAGGGGGGGGCAGGCGGGGGTCCCTGCCCACTCCAGTCCCCTAGGTCACCAGAAGTTTTCCATCCTGCACAGCTCGGCTGCCATTCAGTGCCTCTTCCCAACTGCAGCGTCCTCCCCTCCCCCAGGTTCAGGGGACTCCCCCGACAATCAATCGCACTGTGGGGTCTGTGCGCTGGGATCCCTCCCCAGGCCGTGCTCACAGCAGACTGTGCTCACAGCAGACCATCCTCTGGGTCTCTGCCACCTCCCCAGCTCCAATCCCTAAACTCATCTACCACTTTCCCCTCACTGCTCCTTCTCCAGCCACACTGGCCTCCTTGGTCCACACCCCCTACTTACCCCAGGGCCTTTGCACTTGCTGTTCCCTCTGCCTAGAACCCAGTCATTTGCCATCGCTCTGTAATATTTCTTTCAGTGTGATCGGTATCTGAAATGACCCCATTTGCATGTTTGTTGTGTCTCCCCCACTGGATTATAAGCCCAACGGGCAGGACTGTGGCTATGACCATCCCCAGCGCTTGGCGTGTGACCTGACACACATTTCCTGGGATAAACGGATGAGTGAGCAAATGGAAAATGAGTTAACATCCTCTCCACGCTTACCACCTCCTGTGAGGCCCCCGTGATTTCCCCAGTGCTGAGTGGCTCCAGGTGATTTCTAGATGTTGGGACTATCTCCTGGTTGGGGTTCCTCAGCACGGCCAAGACCTCCCTTCCTGTCTGTGACTTCGTGCCCCGCCTGGCTGCCAGCACCCCTAGGGCAGCTGGATGGCCACCTGTTTCCTCTCAGGTGCCTTTATCCAGGTTTTAGCGGCACCCTCCTTTCTCATGGGGAGCTTCCCCTCTATTCCACAGGGTTCTGGTGGACCCACCAACCATACTGAGACCTGCCCCCAGCCATTGCTCCCAGGGCCCTGAGCACGTCACCTACGCGGGGCCAGCCCGTCCTCCCCTGAGATTTTAAGCAGACTACTGAGTAAGGAGACAGTAGAGGCTCCCCGACTTCAGTGGGTGGCAGTGGGGCGACTGTCTCTCCCATCACTCCGGGTGCCCACAGGCTGGCGCGGGGCCCTGGTGTGACACCATGTAGCCCTGACTCGCCCCATGGTCCCTGAGGGTGGGGGGTGGGAGGCGCCGATCTCAAGAGAAAACTACAGACCAACTTTTTCTTTAAAGAAAACAAGTTTTATTTTTATAATCAGAACATTCTAATAAAAATATTATTATAATATTAGCTACCTTTTTTTCCTGGGCCTGGACTCTGCACCAGGCGTGCTGCAAAGCGCTTGCCCACGTCAGTCAGCCCCCTGAGGCCTCCCGCTTCCCTGAGGTAGGTCTGAAGGTACCCCCAGCGCCCCACGACCTTCCAGCCCGGTCTCCCCAAGCCCCCTGCCAGGCTGCCCCCCTCATCTCACCTTCCCTGCCTCCTCCAAGGCAGGGCAGGGGCCTCCTGCAGACCGCCCCCCAGTGACCCCTCCTGGAGCCCCATCACCAAGGAAGGCAGGACATGTCTCCGGTTGGTCTCACAGCTCAGGCTGGTGTACAGCAGAGGACATGAAGAATGAGAGGGTGGGGCCGCAAGCTGGTGGGGGTACGCAGTGGTCCAGCCCCGCAGCCAGCATCACCACCTTGGGCCCCACTCCCTCTGCCCCCTGCAGTGGGGGTGGGGGTGGGGGTGGGGTGAGAAGTAGGGAGGGGACACGCTTCTGAGACAACTTACCATCGCTGAGAGAGACCTATCTGGAGGCGCCTACCCTCCGAGGGGCTCCTGGTGCTCGAGTGACTTTATCAAACAGAAATACTGTCCCTGTCTCCGTGGGCGGGGCCACCAACAAAAGTGAGTGTCTCAAAGTCAAAACCAGGTTCTAGATGCTTGGTGGCGGGAGCCTCCGTTGAAAAAATAGACTGAAACTCTGAATCATCTTAGTAGCAAAACAATGACAATAAGAAAAAAAGTCGCAGTGCTTCGATGGCAAGGGACTCGGCCGTGGCTGGTGTCCCTGCTGCACGGGGAGCCTCTCGGGTCTTGGGAAGCCGCCCCCGTGCCGTCATCAGAAAACGAGAATTCCAAGGCGGAGGTTCCCGCACGCCTTCTCCTGCGTTCACAGCTTGTGCGGATGGAGTGACAAGAGTCAATTCACGGCGCTTTTAGGTTTCCCTGGAGTAAGGCATCTCTGAGTGGGACAGTTTCTGCAGAGCCCAGAGGGCGGGTCAGCGGAGGGTGGGCAAGGCCCCGCCTGGAGCCCTGCAGCGAGGCGAGAGGCAGGGGAGGTGAAGGGAGGCGTGAGGGGTTTGTGCCAGGAGGCCTAGGTCACATCTTCTGTAGCTCTCACGCATTCTTTTTTCTCAAAGCCCTCCTCAAGACATGGTGGGTCCTGGATTTAAAGGGAAGCGGTCTCTGGGCTGTGCGGGGTGCAGATGGGGGTTCCGTGGGGTCCCCAGAGACACAGGTGCTGGTGTGCACCCCGAGCTCAGCCGGCCGCTGGCCTGGTGGGTGTGTGAGTGACGGGCCTTGATCGGGGCAATGCCCTCACTGCATCCTGTCGGGCTGCAGCTGTGGAGGCTGGTACTGCACGAAGGTGGTGCCCGCAGGGGCCGCAGCTGAGAGGGTTGGGGGCACGGCAGCTGGGTAGCCATAGCCCACGAAGCTGGCAGCCGAGGCGGGTGAGGCGGCGTATGGGTACTGGTCGTAGGTAGCTGGCGTGTACTGGGTGTAGGCCGGGCTGGCCGGCGTGTACTCAATATAGGGCGAGGACAGCGGCGGGACAGGGGCGGCCGGGATCACCACGCTGGGCTGGACGATGGCTTGAGGGTAGATGTAGTGGGGGGTCAGCCTGTGGGGCCAAACAGAGGGGGGTCAGGCAACAGGGCGGGGGGACACAGATGGCTCCGGGGTGGGGCGGAGGAGTCGAGAGAGCTGGGTGATACTGCGTCCCTGTCCTCATCCGTAAAATGGCTGCAGCAACGACAGTATCAGTGGGACTTGAACACATGACCTGTGCAAGCCTGTGCACGGGCTGTTCCCGCCGCCTGCAGGGCTGACTCCCCAGCGCGCCACAGGGCCCCCGCCCCTTCTCCAAGTCTGTACACAAACGTCTCCTTCCCAGTGGGCCCTTCCCAGCACCCCCTCCCAAGCCTGTACCCCACACATCATCCACCCCCACAGGGCTGCCTACATGATTGGGGGACCATGTTTGACAATGACTTAGCATTTCAGACGGTGACAGCAGAGCATCACACCCACAGCGGGCCCTTCTGAGCGGGGGTCCCCATGCGACCGTAAGGGTCACACGCCCACGAAGCCAGCCCACGAAGCCAGCCTCGTCCTCCCATTTCCCTGTTCATTTTGCCACCATCTGCCACCCACCAAGTGGGCCCTACACCATTTGCTGCCTTACCCTGTCCGTCTCCCCACCCAAAGCACTGGCACCCCTGACACATTACCCCTTTCACTGACAGCCGGTCCTGGCCCCTGGAAGGGGCTCAGCGAGGGGGTGCTGAGTGAACGGTGGAATAAAACCGTGCAATGATGATGGTGGCAGGAATGAGAATGACGGTGAGGTCTCAGGAAGGAGGCCAGCCGACTCCGCGGCGCCTGCACTGGTCACACCTTCCCCGTAGTGACTGGGGGAACCGACCCCTCAGGGCGGCCTTCACCTCATTATCTCCTTTTACAACACGAAACGGAGCTCAGAGGGTCAGCAGCTGACCCAAGGCCCCATGGCGATGACCGGAAGGGCTGAGACTGTCAGGCCCTCTTTACTGCCACGCTGGTCCCACCCTGCAGGTGTCACCACTGCCTGGCACACCCTGTCCTCCAGGGTGGGGATCAACTCCCATATGCTACAGACGGGGACCCACGCGCAGGGAGGAGGACCAGCATGTGCCTGCTCTGCCAACCGGCTGCTGGCCAGCCCTGGGCAAGTAGCTGAGCCTCTCTGCGCCTCACAGCCACCTGCATCAGCAGTGCCCGCAGCCCGGCAGATGCTGCTCCACGCCAGGCACAGAGCGGCCTCATGGGGTAGACGCCGTGGCCGCTGGCACCAGCACGAGTCACACAGGATGGGGAGAAGGAAGTGAAACCCCAACTTCCTTCTGCACCCAGAAGGTGGGTCCAGGATCCCTGCCCTGCCCCTGGTCCAAAGAGAAGCTGCTTTGAAAGAGAAAGGAAAACGCTCCCTCTGGGTGTGCTCATCCCCTGCTGTGTGGGGAGCAGCTGGGCAGAAAGCAGGTACTCTGTCCCCCCAGCCAGGCCCTTCAGCACCCAGGAGGCGCCCTCACTCCAGTACGTGCACCTACGGAGTCGGTGAAAAACTAGAGAGACCCGAGTGCCAGCCACGGGGCACAGATGTCACCCATGTCCCCGAGAACAATGCCCACGCGGCAGTGCGGCCAGGAGGCCCAGACTCAGCCCTAACCTGTCCCCCACAGCAGCACATCAGGGGAGCTGTTTATGCAAAACTGAGATATTTACGCTAAATGGTGATATTGTTTGTGCTAAAAAAAACAACAACAAAAAAAACCCCCAAACAAATGTATTTATACATATGCTAAGAATGGGTGAGGCTGAGTCACACGAAACTGCCCTTTTTACGGGTTCAAGAGCTGACCGACGGCAACGTTACACGGTATATGCACAGAAAAAAGGCTGCAAGGTTACCTGTGGGTTTAAACACCTGTAGATGGCAAATGGGGAGTCGCACGCAGAATCAGGAATACGGTGCACGGCTCCCAACAGCCCGGACCAACCCAAGCGTCCATGCGCTGATGGGTGGACAAAGGATACACAGATCGGTGAGCCCAGGCCAGGGCACAGCATTCAGCCACAAAAGGGATGAAGTGCTGACACGTGCTTCATGCTGGACGGACCGTGAGGACACTGTGCTGAGTGAAACCAGCCAGACACAAAAGGCCACACGCTGTATGACTCCATGGAGATGAAAGGTCCACCGCAGGCACATGCGGACAGGGAGAACGTGGCTCGAACGCCAGGGGCTTCGGGAACTGGGGAGGAGAGTGCCAAGGGCTCTCCTTTCGGGGTGAGAATAAAGTTCTGAATTGCACAGTGGCGACGCTTGCACAACTGTGTGAATACGCTTAATGCCTTCCAACGTGAATTCTAGGTTAGGTGGACTCCATGACGACAAGAGCATGTACATGAGAAAACCCTGAGCCAGGAATGAGCCACCTGCGTGGGCGGAGCAGGGGTGCAGGACGGCACTGGGGGCCCCGTGGATCCAGCAGCAAGCATCTGGGGGGCTGAGAGTCTGGGACAGACCTGGTCCCATGCCTGAGGTGCCCCCAGAACCCCGACCACGGGCCCTCCCAGGTGGCGGCACCCCAGTGATTGCCATGGCAACACACTAACCCCAGCAACAGGTGGCTCCTCCTTGCACCTACCTGGGCAGGTGACCTTTTGTAATTTTTGTCAGGAGACCCTGGCTCAGGGCCACAATGGCTGCTTCGCCCCACCTGTTCAGAAGCCTCTGCTGTCCACCCCCCCGGCCTCCCTCCACTCCCCCAGGAACAAGAGCCTTGAACAGAGCCAGGCCTGGGTTCAAATCATTCCTTGGCCTCCTGAACTGAGAGACAACCCTCTCACCTGTCAGGGGTGTGTTCTGGGCCAGGACTCGGGGCTGAGCAGACCACACAACCTCTGGCCTCCTGGGGCTTGAATTCTAGGAGGGGGACAGGTCACATAAACACACCAGCCCATGAACCAGGCCTAGGATTCCCAGGGATGGGGGCGGGGGGACTTCCTGGAGGAGGCGGCAACTGCACAGAGCAGTTTTATCACCCGTCTCCACGACTGGATGTCAAGTGAGAGGTTGGGGAGGTGAGCTCTGCCCGGATGCCTAGCACAATGGCCTGCTGGGCACATGTCCCTCCGATAAGGACGAGGGGCCCCAGCCCTCGGGAGGCCTCCTGGGAAAGGGAGCACGCCGCCGTCCCAGCATTGTCGGTGGCCCTCACCACATGAGCCCCACCCAACTTCTGCAACCTCGGAACCTTTCCCTTAGTTTGAGGCTGTGGAAGCTTTGAGCCCAAAACTTCTCTAGACATGGGCAGGAGTGGCCCCGCCTCACACACACGCCCGCAACGTATTTGCGAAAAACGTGGATCCCCGCAGACGGAAGCCAGACAGGGTGTGGGACCCTGCATGGGACAGCCCCCTAAGGACTCTGACAGCACCTGCCCTGGGGAGCCGCTGCCTAGACCAGGGCCTCACAGCGTCCACACAGCACAAGTACCCGGCGCTTTAAAAACGACAAGGTCCTGGCCACACCCGCCTCGAGGTCTGGTCAGCTGAGGCAGCTGCCATGTTCACAGGTTTCCAACGCCGGACAGTGTCAGCACCCAAGCTCGGCCCCAGGCACCAGAGGTGCCCTGCTGGGGGACGCTCAGACACGGTGGGGGCGAATAACGTTTAGTCTGGGAGGAAGGGGACCCTGTTTCCTGACCCTTGACTATGTTGTCCGTATCTGTTCACCTGTGTCTCTCAGGTGCTCTGCTCCCACCACTGTGTGAAAAGCCCAAGATAACTTACAAAGCTTTTCACAGCCACAAAATAAGTGCTGTTGTTACCCCATTTCCAAATGGACACTGAGGCTCAGAGACGCTCAGGTGACTCGTACAGTCCCCCAGTCAGGGGGGAGCAAAGCAGTCTGCCCCCCGTCCGTCTGCCGCCCGGTGCTCTCCCTGTAAGGACCGCAGGGGCCACCCAGACGGGAGAGCTGGCCAGGGCCCACGGGCGCCAGCCAGGCCAAGACCTCGCAGCCCCTGGTGCTGCTGTCCCGACCAAGGAGCGCAGTGTGTCCAGGGGCCAGACCCGACACAGATCAGAATGAAAGGCAGGGTGGCGGGTGCTGCTGTATGGTGGGCCCAGGACACAACATGGCAAGGCTAGCCGAGTGGAGGGGAAGGGAGCCATCTCCGAGCCCAGCAGGCACAGGCCAGGCAGGCCCATCCCGTCTCCCCTCAGCTGTGCACTCGGACAAGTTACAGAGCTTTTCCTCGTCCTCCATAAAATGGGTCCTTAGAGGCTGACCCCAGGGCTCGCTGTGAGAACTGAGACCCTCCACTAGGGCAGCGGGTCTCAGCCAGGGAGACTTTGCCCCCCAGGGGACATGGGCACATCTGGGACATGTCCGGCTGTCACACTGGGGGGGCAGAGTGGGGTGGGCATGCTACTGGCATCCAGTGGGTGGAAGCCAGGGAAGCTGCTGGCATCCTGCAGTCCTCAGGACGGCCCCACCGCGGGGCAGTCCCCAGCACCCCACCAAGGGGGAGCCCTGCCGTAGGCTACAAAGTGAAGGACAAATATAATAGAAGGACTTCTCACCACTCTCATGGCCAGACGCCCACCCCAGGGGGCTAGGAAGGGGGCCAGGTGGGGATCTGGGGTGCGCACACACACCGGAACCCGCTGAGCTCCTCAGGGAGAAAGACCCAGCCAGACCAGCACCAGCCCCGTCTGACGGCAGCCCCACGCCCACTCCCCAGGCCTGTGCATCAAACCAGGCAGAGGTCCCAGCTGTCTGGCACCAGGGAACAAGGCATTTATGTCCAGCAGGTTCCCTGATGCCCCGCCCAGTCCCTGGGAAGGTCACGGGCTTGGCAACTCTCTCAACTCTCTCGGTGTCCCTCGGGGACTCCCTGCCCTCTCCTGCTGCTGCAGCCACACCCACACTGTCCTTTGGGCGAGCCATGCTCCCATCCCCCAGTCCTTCCTCTTCTCCCCCCACCCCCCAACACAGCCCCACCAGGCACCAGGGGTTCATGGAGGGACTGCAGCCCGCTGGGCTGAAAAGGCTCAACCACCCTCGAGGGACGT